TCACATGTAGTTGTAAATTGATGTACGTGGGGAAGACATTCAGGCCCTTTAAAGAGCGCATTAAAGAACATGTGAGATGCACTAAAAAAAAAAAAATCGCATAGAGACTCCCATCTCTAGACATCTTAAAGAACATCATGAGGGTTCATCTAAAAATATACGTTTCTGCGGTCTTGAGCTGGTTAAGCGCGAACCTAGAAGGGGTGACTTTGATAAAATTCTGCGTCAGAGGGAATGCAGATGGATATACAAACTTAACACTCTACACCCTCGTGGCCTTAATGAAGGCTTCTCCTTCTCCCCTTTCATTTGATTTTATACATGGGTACACTCTGCATAAGAAAACAGGTATATCTGATTTTCTCCGAGTGTTCCTTGCTTCTGTACAATAGAGAGCAGCCTGGGATATCTAATTTTGAACCTTGTATGTAGCAGCTTTCTAAGTTACGATCTGGGTTCTCAATATCTCTTCAGGTCATGTTGTGCTTTTTACCATTAATGTGATGTCTTTTTGTACTTATATACTTTATTGAGGGTATTTTGTTTCTTTTTCTTTTCCTCTTTTTCTACCTTGGTTATTATTGTTTTCTTTTTTCCTTTTTGGTGTTGTGTTGGTTTTTTTCATTATTTACTATTTTTATTATTATTTATTATTATTATTATAAGAGTGGTCTCCCTTAAATGCTGCCCCCTTTTCTGTGTATTCTATCCCTTTTTAGGGAATGGATTCAACACTTTGCCTGCTACTCAATAAACATTCAGTATTTATCTTCCCATTCAGCTTTTCACTAACCATGCCTTCATTGAATTCTACCAACTCCACAACTAACAAGCACTTCAAGTCTAGTTTATTCATACCCTCAGTGAATTTGATGAATCTGATCACATTGTATAAGTGTTACATTTTAAGGCTATTATAGCCACATCCATTACCAGTTTACAATGCCCATCTTTCCTATTGATTACTGAGATGTCCATTCTAGATTTGATTTGAACTGTGGGGAGTCCATGAGAACACACTGTACTTACCTTTATTTACATTCCATTTATTACTACTTCAATTCCTAGTGCGGTTTCGATAGAGTCTCTGTGTCTCTATCACCCACGGACTCCCACCACGCCCTCTCTGCGCTTTCCAATTGAGTATTGGTAGCAGTAGGCATGACGTTATCCTGGAGGTTGGCTCACTGATGTGGCTAAGCGAATGACACACCCGCCACCCACGTGGACCGACGTCCTCCTGTGCTCCCTCCCCTCTCCTTCTCTAGTTTGATTGGATATCGGAGTAATATGTTCAGGGAGGTTGGCCTGAAGGACAGTGATTGGCTGATGGGATTTTAGAGGCGGGCCGATCCTCCCTTCTTAACGCGGCCAGGTAGGCAGACACTCTGTAGCTCTTGACAAAGGCGTTCTTACACGCCGAAACGCGCGTTGAGCATTTCAAAATGCCAATGCATTCATTTTACCTTATTTAATTTATTTGTTTTTCTTTTGATTTATTTATTTTTTGCTTTCATGTTCCTTTGAGGGTTTATTTGGGCAGTGAGGGGGTTAAGCGATAGGGATAGCCTTTAGGCTGCCGTTGAAGCAGCAGGCATTGTACCTAGTTACCCTGTTTTCAGGGGAGTCAGTTAGTTTGTGCAGGGTTATTCAGGTTACGGACAGGGCATTGTTTAGGAGGCCTTTCTTGTTTTTGGTAATAAGCTACATGTATCTGTATGCTTCTCTATGCTCAGGTGGGCACTTCTCCTATATTAACCCTCTGCATAGCTTTACCTACTAACCTGCACTAGCAACTACTGTGCTCCATTTAGGGGTACCTTTACTACCAAGGCTTACTTTATATTTCTATCTGTAATACCCCCCTGCCTATTTACCAGATTTCTGGCAGGATTTATTGGCTAAGACCAGATTTCTGGCAGTTTCATTTTCTAAGTCTAACACTATACTTGCAATCAGTTTATACCTCTTTAGTGAACTGTCTTTTGGTCCCCAGTACTTCGCAATTGTGTTGGCTTAGATCCAATATCTGTGAGGTTATACCTCACTTCCCTATATGAATTTTTACAAGGGATATTTCCCTTCTGGCCATACATAGAGCCAGTTTGATTTTTTTTATCATTATTATATTTTGTGTGTATCCCTTGTTCTATTAAAGGTATAATACCCACATTTTCCCTCCCTTTCTTCCCCCTTCCTTTTCTGTGTTTGATCTTTCCCCTCCTTATGACAAGTACACTTACTTTAGGGGTATAGACCATCGAATGAGCAGGTTTCTACCTTCATATTCGTATGTATGGTGGATTTCTAGCTTATTTCTTTCTTTTTTGTCTACTTCCTTCCTTGGGGTTAAGCCCCCTATTCCCCTAGTAACCTCTTTGCAGAGCTTGAGGTGTTGGTTGTCTTCCAACACCTCATTCTCTCTGTTTCTTCTTTGTATATGTATATTGTATTATATATGATCTAAGTATATATAATTTACTTTTACACTGTTTTAAACTTAATTACAGGCACTGGGAGGGACGGCCTGTCATTCCAGGCAAGCCCCCTACAAGCACTGTTGTGGATGGCATAGTACGCCCGCCCACCAGCGTTTAGGACCAGGTCCCAAAAGTACGCCATCCTTAAGGGTTTAAGTGATCTCCTAAATGACTGAAATTTGAGCAATGAGACCACTTCTTAAAAATAAAACAAAAAACAGACATTGGAACTGCTTCATATCATTGAAGAGGTCATAGTGTCTTGGTTTCCCATGGCACCACCCTTTCGATCTGTGTTAAACAGTTTATAATGTTTTTTTCAGAGAAAAGAGTGTTTACATGCCCCCTAGGGACACACCTCCAGTAGCCACTCCTCAGACGGCCACTGAAGGTGCTTCCTTGGGGAGTGCTGCAGTGCCGTTCTGCATCTCCACACTGAACTTTCCTCATACAGGTGCATTGATTCATGATTTGGCCTAGCCCCTGTCCCTACAGGAAAGCATTGAATTGGCTGAAATCCTAAATTCTGATGTCAGCTAGGAGGCGGATAGAGGGCAGGGCCAGTGCCAGCAGTGGAAATAGGCCAGGTTTTCTAAACGTTTAAGGGTGCTAAGCAAGCTATGGGAAAGTATTGGATTGGCTAAAAATTGTAAATACTGAAGTCACCAAGAAGGTAGGGCGTGGGCAGGGCCAGCACACCCACGCGGCACTGGAAATAGGATAATTTTTAACCCCTTCTAAGTGGGCTATGAGGGGGGGGGGGGATTGTGGTTTTAATTAAGGTTAGAATTAAGTGTGTGTTCCTCACCCTATAGTTTTCCTTTAACAATGGATAGAGGTAAAGTGCCAGGGTATTCCAGGCAATATTTCCATTTAAGATTAAATGGTTATAGCGCCCCTTACACTAAATTGTTTTGGTGCTTAGAAAAAGTGCCCTTAAAGTTAAAGTTGATTTAATGCTAATGCAGTCGAGGATTTAGGTATTACTTGGGTGTGTCTAAGGAGTTTAGACAAAAAAAAAATAAAAAATAAAAAAAAAACCCCACCTTAGACTAAGGTGTTTTTTTCCTTTTTCTAAACACCTTAGACACACCCAGGCAATCCCTAAATCCTGGACTGGTAGGGGGTCCTTCAGGACTGGGTTGAAAATCCCTGCTTTAAATGACCACTATAGTAACAAGAACACAAACATGTATTCCTGACTATGTAGTGTTAAAAACACTATCCAGCCCCCTGAAAAAAATAGAAAAATCTTGCCTGGTTGGCTGACATCATCAGAAGTGTTGATCTCAGCCAATCACAATGCTTTACCATAGGAAAGCATTGGATTGGCTGAGCTTGTCAAGGTGGCAGAGCCAGAACAAGCCATACACAGCCCTGGCATATCAGTATCTCCTTATAGAGATGCATTGAATCAATGCATCTCTTTGAGGAAAGTTCAGTGTCTCCATTCAGAGAGTGGAGACACAGAATGTCAGTGACTGCCTCAAGAAGCACCTCTTGTAGCCATCTGAGGAGTGGCCACTGAAGGTAACACTGGCTTGGAGAGGCTATATGACATGGCTATGGTTTGTATGTCAAAAGTTTACAGTGACAGCACCTGGATAGTCAAAAGGATGTTATGTTGCAGAAATGAATCGTGCTCCTACAACATCAAAAAAATAAAACAGAAGCTAAAGCACTTTTGAGAGGACACTGGAACAGATAATTAAATGGATACTCCAGGCACCCAGACCACTTCTGCCCATTGGAGTGGTGTGGGTGCCAACTCCCACTAACCCTTAACCCTGCAAGTGTAATTATTGCAGCTTTCAATAACTGCAATATTTACCTTGCAGGGTTAAGTCCTGGCTAACAAACAGCCACTAGAGGGACTTCCGTGTTCATAGAACACGAAAAGTGTTTTAAGCAACGCTGGAGGTCCTCACGCTATGTGAGGACCTCCAGCGTCGTCGAAATCCCCATAGGAAAGCATTGAATAACTCTTTCCTATGGGGAGGTCTAATGCGCGTATGCATTAGGTCTACCCCGCCGGCTGACGCTTAGAGTAGGCGGAGCCTGACCAGTGCCGAGCGACATCCGTGCTGGACTCCGGTAAGTCACTAAAGGGGTTTTAACCCCTTCAGCAACTTGGGAAGGGGGGTGGGAGGCAGACGGGCACTACAGGGTCCTGCAGTGCCAGGAAAACTAATATGTTTTTCCGGCACTGGAGAATCCCTTTAAATTCTGAATAGATACTAGATTTCTAGAACAAGGAAGTGACATTTGTGGTTAAATCAAAGCATCCGATTAACACGGTTAGGCCATTACCCTTCCATAAACAAGTCATTTCCAGTAGAGTTATCTCATTTTCATTTCCGCTTCCACATTTACTAGGCAAGTCCCTTTTGGTCTTATCTGACGGTGCAACAAACACACACTTTAAGCCACTTTCAGACATCTCATATCTTGCACAAATTCTATTAAACTTTTGTATTTTCCGCTTTTAGAAACAAACACTTACATAAAAGACAAAAAGGCATTGATTATTAGCAGGCATTGTAACAATTTATTGAAAAAGGCACGGTCACACCCTCCACACAGAATATCAACGGGGTCATTAAATCAGACCAAAAGAAAAAACTAAGCAAAAAAACTGGGAAAGAAAAGGGGAATGATTTGAGCTTCTCTACAGACTATATACAGAGCACACACCTGGCCTTGGACAAGCTACCTTATTGATATATTAAAGGGTGCTGACCCCCAACCCTCCAGTGGGTAACTTGATAGAGAGACAAGATCAATTTAACACCTTCCCTCTGCCTCCAGGTATTAGGATAAAAGGTGCAGCGCTGTGATACAGAGAGATTAAGAGATGAAATAAGAGGTTTTTTTTATGTGTTTTTTTAAAAACCACAAATCTTCTCTGGTTAGACAAGTGTGTCTCTACTTCCCATCGCTCTACTGTAAAGGAGCTACTTCGTAAATACAGGTGCTAACCAAGCTGCAACATTCATCTGGCAGCAAGAGTCGAAATCTTTTTATTTTTTTATTTTTTATCTGTACGACCCATTATCTTTATGCAAGGCATGTTTATAAACATTCTTTGCACTCCGTGCACAAGCATTACACTTAAGTAACTCACATCAGCAGAAAGAGCGAGAAAATATAGAATTCTAAATCACATACACTGAACATTTCAAACCCACAACAGCCTTTTCAGCTGAACCTAAATATCTGCTTAGCGTGCATGTGAGCTATACAAGTGCTCTTAACCTTTTCAGCTGCAAAGAGGTATGTTGTGCATTGCAACGCAATGTGTTCCCTCAAGTCTAGTATGAAAGGGTTAATATTTGTCAAATCTCACACAAGATCAGGGAGGTGTTATTCTCTACTACTCTATTATGACATACACGGTTATCCAAAATTAAGGATGGAAAGGGAAAATTATATATAAAATCAGGGAGGTTTGTGCTTTCAGTAAAAGTATAATCAGCTGATTTACAATACAGTTCGCAGTATTATCCATATATATGTATATACATATACTATCATGTTATATATGCATTAATCCCCTGGCTGCCAGTTCCCTGCTTTCACAAACCCCTAGGCAACCAGAGGCTCCTCCAGTGCATGTTGGGATAACGCTGCACTTTGCCAAACCACATGGCTGTGCTATATTTACTGCTGCGCTGCACCTTTATCCATCAAACCTCCCTTCTTGTTTAATCTGATTTGTCTCCCTCATCATCAGGCCGAGGATCACCATCGTGGCCATTCTTGTCTTCCTTGGGGAGGTGACCTTGGGAACCGAGCGCAGACAGAGAGAGGAGGCCGCTGGCGGCACTAACTGGTAAGGAGGGTGCCTGCAATCCTACTGGCAGAGGTGTGAGAGGGAGGGCCAGTGCCTGGAGCTGGGAGAGCTGGTGCACCTGAAGCTGCTGCTGTATAGAAGGGGAAGAGAAGGAAGACAAAAGGAAAAATATGTCAGACAGGATTGTGGCTCCTGCATGGCCTGAGATGGAACACTGTGACATATCATGGACTGGGAGAAACTTTAAAAAGGTCAAAACAGGCAGAAGAGAATTATGGTAAAATAGGTGTGTCCAGGACAAAGGGGGGTCTACAGATTATGGGGTCAGCACCTGCCATCCCTAAAGAAACACAGAGTAGAAACCTCCTAGAAGTGATACAGTGACGCTGACAAAAATATGGAAGTAGGAGTCTGATCCTCTCACTAGAGCAGGGTTCCAATCCTTCCTCCTTGCTCAACCATACAGCAATCCTATAGCACTCTCACGTACACGGATGATTGAGTTCAGCTCCGGAGCAGTCACTTGCTTTGCCCGCTCTATGGCTCCCAGGACTTGTTGCTGATGCTAGGAAGAGAAGTTAGGAGTTAAAAACTGATATGTGCTAGCATTCAACCCAATGCCATACAAAACACAAATAGGCTTATTCACTAAACACCGAACTGCAGTGAAAGAAAAACAGTTGTGACTATAGCAGTTTCTGGGTCAATGTTCTAAAATCATGGAACACATTCAAACTCAAAATACCTAAATGTATTACCAGGCATCACATGCTGCAAATGCACTCTAATGTGGGCCTCCCATGAACACATGATTTACATTAAAACATGTGGCCCTGCTGGATTATATAAGCTTGTGAGAATTGAAACAATGGATAAGTAAAATATAAACAGTGATTGAGAGACAGGAAAGAGGGATGTGATAAACCTTCACACACACACACATCGACAGACTCACAAAGTACAGGAAGGAAGAGCATTTCAGAGTGGAATGTCTGTGAAAGCAATAGGGCTGCAACAAGAGTGTAATATACTGATCAAATAAAATGTGATGCTTTATGGCAGGAAGGGAAACGAATTAGACCAGGCTGGAAAAGCAAGTTACGCAACAACATATGTTTGTAAAGAATTTTTGTCCACTCCATCCAAGAGATGCAACGTACCTCCTGTGAGAGATAAGGCAACACCTGTGCACAGATTCCGTTCAACCGTTTGACAATCTCGGCCTAGCAGACAGGAAAGACGTTGTTTAAAGGAAAATTAAAAAATAGCCAGCTTACAGTTAAGCAACAAATAAACAAATAACTGGCCACCTGGTAGCAAAATTGTATAAGTCATCTCAATGTAAAGTGGAAAACATGTCTGCTGGCTTGTTTTGGGGGCTGTAGTTGTACTCAACAACACAACTGACAGAGTGAAGGAATTTCCATTACGCTATTACTTAACATTGTGAACAAAATATGCTTCAGGTCCTCATAATGTAGTGTGCCGATGTTACGCTCATGATTAAATGGAAGGTACTGTCAAAAATCACTCCATCACGTATGTATTATATAGAGATAATGAATTACAAATTTGCAAAAAAAAATATTACCTTTTAATATTTCTATTGACAGCAAATCCCTCCATCTCTTGGAAGAGGCTCTATCAATCAAGGGTATCTCATTCTGCTCTGTGATGTCTGATCTTATCCCACAAACCATTGCAGAGCAAGGTAAATAAAGGTAGTCAAGTATTTAAGTCATTTAATGGGATGGACTTATACAATATAAAATAATAGAGGAACACTCTAGGTACCAGAACCACTACAACTTAATGCAGGCTCAGAAGTATAAACATTGCTTTTTTCTGAGAAAACGCAGTAATTATATTGCCATCTAACACCACCAGTAGTGGCCACTAGAGGGACTTCCTGGACGTGGTTTTGCAAAGATTAAAATACCAAAAAAACAAAACTATGCAAGCTAATACTTTAAGCTAAATACAATTCTGAGGTCTTTTTTTTTTTTTTTTTACAAGACTAACGTTTTATTAGTTGTATAAATTTACTAAAATTGTGTGCTGCTTTTAATTGTCGTTTATGATTATGAAGAAGTTTGCATATCTTTTTGATCATTATGCACAAAGTTCCATTTATGTACTGTAATTTTATAGCACTCCACCCATTCACATTTATTACATACTTGGTGAGTTTTTAAGAAGGGGAAGGCACATTAGTTGTTTTTGAGCTGCTAAACACATCAAGATTTTTGCTTATAGTTATCCATTACTAAACTGTAACACACAACTTAACTTTGAATCCCTATTAATGTTAATTTTAAAACTACTTAAGGACCACATGACAGTATATGCCACCTTCTGATACCGGAGAGACCCAGGTGAAATGAGCCAATATCAGTAGCCCCTGTTGGACAGATGAGCTATGTGCAGAGCTCTAAGTGAGAATGGCACATAGACCTTTGAATTAATTTGTGACCGCTCTCTGCAGTGGTGATTTTAAATGACCCCAAGATCCCCGCTCATGCTGCAATCTCAGAGCCCTCTTTACTACGTGAGCTGGGAAATGCCTCTGCTGATATCAGTACGGACACCAACAAAGGGAATCCCTCTGAGGTGGGATTATAAAATAGATTAGGAGGGGTAGGATTTAGGGATGTTTTAGGTATACGTGTGGTATATCACTAATCAAGAACAGTAGCATTATACAAACATGGGGTGTTTGCAGTAATGTGAAACACGTGGTCTGTTAATTTCCCCCAAATAAAAACAGGTGTGCAATATAAATAAATTAAAGGGACACTATAGTCGCCAGAACAACCACAGCTTAATGTAGTTCTGGTGAGTATAATCATTCACTGTAAGCATTTTAATGCAAACACTAGCAGTGTTTACATTGCCACATAATGACAAATCCAGTGGCCAATGGAGGTGCTTCCTGGGGCAGTTCAGAGTCTCTACACTGTACAAGGAGACGCTGAAATTTCCTCAGCGATGCATTGATTCTCTATGAAGAGGTGTGATTGGCCAAGACGTGTATATGCGATTGTATGTGTGGCTCTGTGATTATGTGTATGTCTGCATTTATCTGTGATTGTGTGTCCTTGATTTTATATTTATATCAGTGATTATGTGCATAGGTCTGTAATTGTGCGTGTGTGTTGGTCTGGGATAGTGTTTGTGTATTATGTGTTCAGGTCTGATTGTATGTGTGTGTATATATCTATGGTTATGTGTATTGTTTAGTAGATAGATCCCTAGTTTGGTATCCTTAAATATGGCAATTACACATAGGATAACAAATAAGGGAGTTCTCTACTAAACAAATAAAATATCAGAAGAAAATGGCATTTGAAGTTTTATTACATAAATTAATATTACTGTATATACTTAAGTATAAGACGAGTTTTTCAGCACATTTTTTGTGCTGAAAAACCCCCACTCGTCTTATACTCGAGTGAGTGTCTGTATTATGGCAACTTATATTGCCATAATACAGACAAGGACCGCCGGGCTCATTACAACCCCGGCGGTCCTGTTGGGGGCTGGCAGCAAGCTGTTACCTTTTCTGCAGCTCCTGTCAGCTCCCTTCTCTCTCCTTCGGTCCGGTCAGCTCCCCTGCAAGTCTCGCGAGAGCCACAGGGTCAGAGCGTTGCCACGGGTTACAGTGGCAACGCTCCGCGTGGCAGTCACATCGCGAGACTTGCAGTGGGAGCTGACCGGACCGGAGGAGAGAGAAGGGAGCCGACAGGAGCTGCAGGAAAGGTAAGTTACAGCTCGCTGCCAGCCCCCCCCCTACACAGCCCATCCACTGGACCACCAGGGAGTGAAAGCCCCCCTCCCTGGCCAGCTAACAAGCAGGGAGGGGGGACGAAAATAAATAAAAATGTAAATAATATTAAAATAATAATAATAATAATAATATATATTAAAAAAATAATATTAAAATAATAATTAAAAAAAAAATGCCCACCCCCCACCAAGGCTCTGCACCACACACACACACACACACACACACACACTATACACACACTGCATTCACTGTATACACACACTGTAAATAAATATTCAATTAATATAATTTTTGGGGGATATCATTTTATTTAGAAATTTACCAGTAGCTGCTGCATTTCCCACCCTAGTCTTATACTCGAGTCAATAAGTTTTCCCATTTTTATTGGGGTAAAATTAGGGGTCTCGACATACTCTAGTATATACGGTACATGGTTTATGTGCAGCCAACAATTCATGGTTTATGTGCAGCACACAATTCCTACTCACTCAATGTGGCCTGGTGATAATGTAAACCCTTGGTTTAGAAGGACACTATAGTCACCAGAACAACTACAGCTTAATATAGTTGTTCTGGTGTATATAATATGTTCCTGAAGGCTTTTTAATGTAAACACTGCCATTTCAGACTGCCTTCTAGAGGTGCTTCCTGGGTCAGTGCTGCACAATGTCCATACTGATGTTTAGCGTCTCTACACTTTACATGGAGACGCAGAACGTTCCACATAGAGATGCATTGAGTCAATGCATCTCTATGAGGAGACGCGGATTGGTGCCGTGCTGTGTTTTGCCACGCACGCAAAATAGCCTCCCAATTAGTGACTGTTCGCCGCGGACTCGAGTAAACTTTGACCCTGTACCTCACAGTCAGCATACACATTACAGCCAATCAGCAGCAGACCCTCCCTCCCAGACAGCATCCATTGTGAAGCTGCATTCTTAGTGAGCTGTCCAGGAGGTGGGAGGGTCTGCTGCTGATTGGCTGGAATGTGTCTGCTGACTGTGAGGTACAGGGTCAAAGTTTACTCAATGACGAGTCCGCGGCGAACCGTTCGGGACATCACTACTCCCAATGCTTTTTTTTCTTTTCTTAAAGCATTAGGTTGGCTGAGATCATCCATTCTAACGTTTGTATTCCTGACACTATAGTGTTCCTTTAAGGGATCTGAATGATACTAAGTTTGAAATTGGGTATTAGGACATAAAGTACAATAATATGCAGACATTTAGTCTACTATGAATGGCTGATTAGAGTAAGGTTCCACACCAACTCCATAAGTTGATTTGTAAACAACTTTTTAAAAACTATTTTTAAACTATTATTTAAAATAAAATGTTTTAAATTAAATGCAACAATAAAAGTTAAGTTGTATATCTTTCTGTAAAAATCTTGCTATTCAATAGTTTGTGGCAGTATTAACACATAGCAAAAGTGCCATTCATTGCATCAAAAGTTTGGATCTCATGATCAATAAAATGAAAAATAAAAGAACTATGGATCTGTGCAGCCTTTTTGTTCTCTTCTTTCAGAGCTTTCTAACAGCACGTCGACAGTACTTCACACATTGGCATTATGGAAACATGTTCTGCCTATACACAAATCTATGATAAATACCACTGAACCAAGAAAATAACACACACCAATGTTTCTTCGTGTTTTCTTTTTATCAAGATCTCAGTAGGATAGTGATAAAAATAAACAGGAACTCCAGACTCTGGATCATGGGATATAAGGCAGCTTGCATGAAATGTGTCAGTATAAACTAACTAATATTTTACAAATGATGGATTGACAAAGAATTAGTTCTTTTCAAATACACGTTATAGGATACAAATTACGTTTTTAGATAGCTTGACTGTATGGTTTTTTCCAACCGCGAAAATATTAAAAGGTATAAGCAAGCCATGAAGAGAGTTTGACCATGAGGGTTGAACAGGTACTGTTGCCTGTTAATTAACCCCTTGTAGACTTACTCCAACCACCATGACAACTTCTGCTTTTAGAAGTTGTCACGGTGGTAGGAATCTGTAAGTACAGGGTTTCAGCTTGAAATATTGCATATCCAGAGATATTTCCACTTTAGTTATGTGGGCTAGTGGCACTTCAGCACACATTACTTAAGCAACCCAAGACGCTGTTCCAAGCTGCCCAATATCCCTACCTCCCTCCCTCCCTTTTCCCAGGTGGGTGCATGCATTCTTAACTGGTGAAACGGTTCAATCAAATGCTTCAAACATTTGACAGGACCATGAGAGGGCACCAGTGACATTAGAGGGGGTGTAGAATCCAGGGAGTGGAACTTCACCAGGCACTGGTTTCCAGTTACATTTATACCTATTTTTTTAAAGGAGCGTGAGAGAGAGATAGAGAGGGAAAAACTTTGAGAAAAAGCCTTTTCCCTACCGCTATACCAACCATAACTCTTACCTGATGCTTACACCAACAATAACCATATACCTACCTTAACCCAACCCTAACCTTAATTCCAAAATCGCATTAATCAAAATCCAGCATTAACTCTCACCTTATCCACAGGTTTAAACCTGCTCTCGCTATATTACAGCATACAACCTTCTAAATACCCATTTAAAGAGCAGCATACAGCACTCACACTGAGTGCTGTATACAGCATATGTCAGTCTGGCTAGGATGTTCCATTCTGTCCTAATGGTGATAAAAGTCCTCTCTGTGGATGATTCCTAACAGGATGGGGTTAACTAGCTTAGTTGTTTCACATTTTCATTCTTTATCATGGTGTTCTGGTCAGAGATGTATTGATGTTAAAAATCACCCTAATGAGTTTTGTCTGAACAACCACCTACGGTGTCCAACCTTTAACCCTTTTTGATTCGCTAGGAATCTGATGGAAAAAATTGGAATTTTGAGATGGAATTCTGATACCTTTGTCAAAAAGTAGGAAAACCAATATAAGTTTAAGGAGACACAAACAATATATGCTATAGGTAATGTTAATAAATATATCCAATAATGCTTATAACTGGGCGTTAATGCTATTAACGAGTGCTGCTGAACATTGGCAATAAACAGCAAGTAACAAACAAAAGCTCACATCTTTTATTATTTAAGATTAATGGCTGCTCACCTGTTTGTGCATTTCAATATTCAGGCCGTAAGACATCTCATAATACTAAAAAGAAAATAGAAAATAGTTTAGGCAAGTACAGTTATGGCAATGTTAAAGAGGCAGTGAATCAGATCAGCCCAGGTTTTCACATGTCTGCATATAACAATTGCTAGTGGCAGAATGTCCAAGCTTAAATATATAGATCACTGGCTCTAAAACAGATTTCTTCAGGGAAACCTTGACAGGCAAAGAATTAAGGACATCTGTGTCTGAATGCAAGGGAACCACAGAGATGCCTGAAAGGAGTTCTCTGGTTTGAGTGTACTTGCTCTGTCTAAAATCCAATTTCTCAACAGGAGGGAGAGGGAGAGGGATATAGATATATTATATATAAAAAGTAAGAAGCACGGTGGTAGCACAAAATAATTGTTGATAATGATCTCAGCTATGCCAGAGCAAGCTAAGAAGAGTGCTTACTACTACTACTACTACTACTACTAAATGGGAAAGAATAGCATCACTAGCAGCAAATGTGTGTTGGAGCAAGTTCTTACCTTTAGACGTTACAATCAATGGAAAATTAAGAGACCCTCCAGGCTCAAAGTGACTATCATTTGTTTAAAACATTATGCAAATAATGCATTAAAAGGGACATGCAGTTTCCCTATACACTTCCTGAAAATGATGCCTAAAGATTTTAGCTTCCCTTACTGTGCATTGTTTCTTATGTCCTGCTCTATTCAGTGCATGCAAGAGTCTTCTGTGTGATCAAAGTTCAATTAACAGAGCAGGAGATAACTTCGAAAGTAAAAATTCAATGCTGTAAGATCAGATTTAAAATGAACCAATTTTTCTTGTAGGCTGTATTAAAATTTAAAGTAATTTAAAATACCCGTATTTTCCGGCGTATAAGACGACCCCCAACTTTTCCAGTTAAAATATAGAGTTTGGGATATATTCGCCGTATAAGACTACTCTTCCAATGCACACCAAATAAAAATTAGCCATGATGTACAGCAAGACATTAAATAATGATAATCTGAAATAGCATTTAAAGCCCAGGTATGTGCCAGGCTGTTTGGGCATATAATCTTTATGCCCTATAATTATTTTTATTCTTTTTACTCCCCCCACCCCCAATCCTCCCTATATTCTTCTCACCTCCCCTTCCCTGTGCAGAGTGGGTGGCCGAGCTCCTCTTCGTCCTGTCAGTCCGGCCGGGTACCGCGCGGTACAGGAGATTCAGTTACCTGTTCCCGGCCGGACTGAAAGGAAGTGAGCACTCACTCAGGACGAAGAGGAGCTCGGCCACCCACACTGCACAGGGAAGGGGAGGTGAGAAGAGAGGCAGTGCGGCAGCCGTCTGAGCGTTCTCTATAGAGTGCTCAGGCGGCTGCAGCATTAGAAGGGCCGGCGATGGGGGCGCAGGGCGCCCCCGGCAGCCATATAGACCCTATACCCGGCGTATAAGACGACCCCCGACTTTGGAGAAGATTTTCCAGGGTTAAAAAGTCATCTTATACGCCAGAAAATACAGTATATATAGATTTATTGTCAGGGGAAAAAGGCAGAGAAAGAGTGTTAATTTGTTGTGATGAAAGCCGGTTGTGGTGCGCAGAAACCAGCGTTCTGGTAGTCCCATAAACAAAGTAGGCCCACCAAGAGGTAATAATTCATAAAGGGAGGGGTGAGTGGGACGAACCAAGAAATGGCGTTGCATAGTAAGGGGTGCCCTGTGTTCAAATCGGCCAGGTAACCCTTCCACAATTCCAAGCTCAGCTTTAACATTTGTGGTCAGGGAAAAAGGCAGGGAAAGTGTGTTAATAGGATGTGGTGAAAGTTGGTTGTGGTGTGCAGAAACAGGCATTCAGGTAGGCCTGTAAATAAAAATGGCAAATCTGATATATCTGTTATATGGTATAGGTTTCCATCGTCCTAGTCTTTTAATAATGCGTACAGGGACATTTTTTATTAGATGCTGCTGAAGCTGCTCCAATCCTAAATGACTAGACTGAAAAAGATGAAGGGTGGCAGCCAAGTTTAACAAATAGTGTCCAGACATACAAGATAAATTTAGATGTGAGTGGGTTACTGTGTAACAGTAACAGAGGTGTATCCCCAATTTGACTTGTTAGTGAATGACAGATCCATTATTTTTACTGGGCACCATTTATTGTTTGTAGGTGTATGCCTGTAAGTGGCCGTCCCATTTGATTTGTTTTCAACTGTCGCAAGGTAAGTGCATAATGATCCCCTGTTTTTGTAAGATCATTAATTTTGAGGCACTGGGATGCACGAGTAAATTTTTCATTGGCAAGTTCATTGAGGGGTAAGAAACCATAGAATGCTATGTATATAGCGGTTTTGATTATTAAGTTAGTTTATGTTTCAAAATGATTAGTATCCAACTTTGATAGTGCCCTAAATTGTGGCTCATTGATAGGTTAACATTGAGTAGCTTTAGGAAAAGCGTTGCATACCTTTGAGGATATTTTTATTGGATAGGACTGGGCTGGGAAATACACTTAGTACATGATTTTGTAAGCCTGTGAGATTGTTTTATGGTATTGTAATATAATTTTAGGTTGAGGTGGCAATAGGAAGTGAATGCCACCATTGTATCGATGGTGAACAGGTTGCTGAACTAAAATACGGTAATTAAGTTATTGAAAATAGCGCGTCCTCGTTCGTTTGAATGTCTAGTATTTGCTGACAGGGCAACTTGAGCTAATGATCTTCCATGCACCATAAGACTGACTAGTTCAGAAGAATAGCTGTAGGTTAGAACGAGACAAGGCATCAGCTGTTGTATTATGGCAGCCTGGGACGTACACGCAAACCTGGTAGAAGTGTTGCTGCTAGCCATGTCAGTTTCATGTGCAGTATCATTATAATTAATGAAGAGGGACTTTCTTTGTGAATAATTCTGCAGGTCGCTATGTTGTCAGAATAATATTTAAGTTTCCCTTTCCATAAGTACACCCAAGTATGTGCCACGGCTACAAAGGAATGAATTTCGAAAAAGGGCAGAGGTCATATTTAAAAGAAGAAAAACTACCACAATAAGAGGACATTGTCTTAATCCCTTAAGGACACAACTTCTGGAATAAAAGGGAATCATGACAGAATTTTTCCGTCATGTGTCCTTAAGTGGTTAAATTAGAGGGACAAAGGTTTAAAAATAATATCAGGAAGTATTACTTTACTGAGAGGGTAGTGGATGCATGGAATAGCCTTCCAGCTGAAGTGGTAGAGGTTAACACAGTAAAGTAGTTTAAGCATGCGTGGGATAGGCATAAGGCTATCCTAAACTATAAGATAAGGCCAGGGACTAATGAAAGTATTTAAAAAATTGGGCAGACTAGATGGGCGGAATGGTTCTTATCTGCCGTCACATTCTACGTTTCTATATTTTGTTAAATGAGGGTAAACGTAACATCTCTGTGGGCCATTGGTCCCTGAACCATCTGTCCTCGTATAGTGGTGCAAATCCTGTGTGGCCTGCAATGTCAGTCCAGATAACACGAGAACCATAAAGAAGATTATGTAGATCTGTGTGTGAACAACATCCTTTTGTAAGGAAGGATTCTATATCTGCACTTATACACTGAATCTTGTCTGTGGGCAGATTGGATTGCATCGACAAAGAGTCAAGGCATATGCCAAGGAATATTAACTTTGTGGTGGGGCCTATGGTTTTGTTTGTGGAAGTGGCACACCTAGCATAGAAAATCGAACAACCCTTTTATTGATGCTTGGGCTACGATGTTAGGTCCAATTGGACAATTACAAACATTTAGGAGGCGCCAACACAGGGTTGCAGCAAATATGTTTAACAGTTTAGGACTGCTCTTAGCCCCAATTGTAAGACGGTTGGTGAAAATGTATTGTTCCCTCCATTTAATACCGTGTAGATACCATAGAGACAGACGTATGGGGAGAGTCTTGAAGATATTGGAAATGTCTGTTTTTGCTAGCCAGGCTGTTTTCCCAGCTTTCAAGATTGCTTTTATAGCATTGTCGACTGTGGCATAATGGGCTGAAAATTCTTTTAAGGGAATTAGGGAATTCAAGCTAAGTATAGCTAAAGAATGTTTGTAAGAGTGTATCCACTATGACTGGATCTTGTAAGTCAGATTGTAGGTTATTACACTGAATGGTAGGCAGTGCAATGATACCAGTATGAAAGCCTTCCATGAAACCCATGACGAGAAAAAAGTGAGTGATGGGGTGAGTGTTAAGGAAGATAGCTAGGGTATCAATTTTTACTTCAGTCAGTCAATGTTTTGGGAATAAAATATTTTGGGACATGAATTTAGTGTGCGGTCTGAAGTAGATGGAGCAGACATGCAACAACCTACAAATGCTGAAACTGCAGCTACAGGCATTGAAGTTTTTACATATCTGTGCCTGACCCGGGAATACGTTAAGGCCTTTGTGTTCTGATCTGTGGGAAACAGGAGTAGCTTGGCTTGTGGTGGATAAACTAGGCTTGTTAGGACACAAATTGGCAGAATGTTAGTTGGAGGCATAATAGCACAAACTGGTGGTTTGAGGTGTGCTAAATAGCGACAGAGTAAATCTGTATTCAATTGGCTCCACGAATGATATAACTTACAGTTAGTTGCTGCCGAACAAGTTTGGATGAACCTTGGCGTTACACTATCTTGTAGGCAGAATCTCGTGAATGCGACAGCAGGCTGAACCAGAAGTTAAAGGACCACTATAGTGCCAGGAAAAAACATACTCGTTTTCCTGGCACTAGAGTGCCCTGAGGGTGCCCCCACCCTCAGGGACCCCCTCCCGCCTGGCTCCAAAAAAAAACAAAAAACCCTTACCTTTTTCCAGCACTGGGTGGGGAGCTCTCTGCCTCCGATCCTCCTCCGTTCCTCCCAGTCGGCTGAATGCGCACGCGCGGCAAGAGCTGCGCGCGCTTTCAGCCGGTCGCATAGGTAAGCATTTGTAATGCTTTCCTATGGACGCTGGCGTGCTCTCACTGTGAAAATCACAGCGAGAATCACGCAAGCGCCTCTAACGGCTGTCAATGAGACAGCCGCTAGAGGCTTTGGGGGAAGGCTTAACCCATTCATAAACATAGCAGTTTCTCTGAAACTGCTATGTTTATAAAAGAATGGGTTAATCCTAGCTGGACCAGGCACCCAGACCACTTCATTAAGCTGAAGTGGTCTGGGTGCCTAGAGTGGTCCTTTAAGGTCCATAATGAATCTGAACCATACCATGGTGGCCCATAGAAGAAGGTGCCCTGTGTTTAACCCCTTAAAGGACCACTATAGTGCCAGGAAAACATACTCGTTTTCCTGGCACTATAGTGCCCTGAGGGTGCCCCCACCCTCAGGGACCCCCTCCCGCCCGGCTCTGGAAAGGGGAAAGGGGTTAAAACTTACCTTTTCCAGCGCTGGGCGGGGAGCTCTCCTCCTCTCCGTCGGCTGAATGCGCACGCACGCATTCAGCCGGTCACATAGGAAAGCATTCATAATGCTTTCCTATGGACGCTGGCGTGCTCTCACTGTGAAAATCACAGTGAGAAGCACGCAAGCGTCTCTAGCGGCAGCCGCTAGAGGAAATAGGGGAAGGCTTAACCCACTGCTATGTTTATGAAAAAAATGGGTTAACCCTAGCTGGACCTGGCACCCAGACCACTTCATTAAGCTGAAGTGGTCTGGGTGCCTAGAGTGGTCCTTTAACTTCTGGAATAAACTTCTGGAATAAAAGGCAATCATGGCATGTCACACATGTCATGTGTCCTTAAGTGGTTAAATAGACCAGGTAATAACTCCCACAATTCCAGGCTTCACCTAAACACACACATATGCACACACTCCCGATATATCCCCCCCTTTTCTTAAAGCAAGAGAAAGGTCATTAGAAATTTTAACATACAAAAGTACACTAATACACTGAACAAAAATATAAATGCAACACTTGTTTTTCCCCCCCATTTTTCATGAGCTGAACTCAAAGATCTAAGACTTTTTCTATGTACACAAAAGGCCTATTTTTCTAAAATATTGTTCGCAAATCTGTCTAAATCTGGGTTAGTGAGCACTTCTCTTTTGCCAAGATAAACCATCCACCTTGAATGTTTGGCATATCAAGATGCTGATTAGACAGCATGATTATTGCAAAGCTGTGCCTTAGGCTAGCCACTCTAAAATGTTCAGTTTTACTGTATTGGAAGCGTCTGGGGGGGGTGGGGGAGGTCCAAAAACCAGTAAGTATGGGATGTCACCATTTGCCTCACGCAGTGCAACACATCTCCTTTGATCAGGTTGTTGATTGTGAAAAAAAAAAGTCTTAGATCTTTGAGTTCAGCTCATGAAAAATGGGGGCAAAAACAAAAGTATTGCTTTTGTAATTTTGTTCAGTGTAGCTAAAGTATTTTTTTTAATTCCTTGAGTATTCTTTTAATGTTTCTTTTTTTAGGATAAAAGCTCAACCTTGAGATAACCGCATCCAATGTGTAGCTTACAGCAAATTTTATTTGCTTGTTAAGTAGGACACAGTTAAAAATATTGTGTCCTCTGACTGAAAAGCTGGCCCCCTCCTCTTCCACCACTGTGTCTGACCTCTTTGTCTTACAAGTCCCAGAAAGATTTTTAGGCAGATTTACACTGTGCCCTAGCCCTTTGAAGCCCCCCCCCCCCCTTCCACACACTCTTACCACCCCATCCTGTAACAAGCAGCTGTCTGGCAGAGTAAATGAATGGGATAACCCCACAAGACAGGGATAAGCCAGGAGACCTGCTGAGGGAACTTGAGGAGGGAGGAGGGCTGATCAAGGGTTGGGGGGGAGGGGGGGGGGTTTGGCAAGCAGCTATGCACTATTCAACCACCAGTTTCCCTTCAAAAGAGATTAAAAAGGTTTCAGTTTTTTTAGGTTAACCCCTTAACATAGGCATTGTAATCATAAAGTAATAAGATGAATGGCATTTTTTCCATTATTTTTTCTCAAATGTAAATTCTGCCTCTTGAAGGAGTGTTTTGGCTTTAAATACCATGGTCCCCAGAGGTAGATTTCAAGAGGAAAGGATCATTAAACTGTATACAAACAGAAGGTTTCTGTATATGCCCTCAGGGGTTAATATAGAGCTGGAGCATTGCTGGTTGCTTAACCATCTGCAGCCACATCTTGGCAGTCATAATTAAAGAGCTAATTGCCCTGAACAAAGGGAGTGGGGAAAAGGAGCATTCTCCAAGGGGATAAACTAAAGGCATACCTAAATTAGTTGCAAGGTTTTTGGCTTCACAAGAGACTTTTAAATATGGACCCGTCTCCTTTCGCTGGTTCTGCAGGGGGTCGCTCATTGTATAATGTGTCTGAAAACATTTTTGGAAAGAGCTCAAGAATCACACTCCTATCCAAGTTTAAAGGGACATTACAGGTACCCAGAGCCCTTAATTTCATTGATGAGTTTAGTGCACGGTACCTTTTGCCTTAAAGTAACACTATAGGGTCAGGAACACAAACATGTATTCCTGACCTTATAGTTTTAAAACCACCATTTAGGTGGCTTGCTCCCCCTCCCCCTTAACTCCCTGAAAAGGTAAAAAAAGAAATTATTTCCAGCACCGCGAAGGTCAGCTGGCGCTGGCCCGTCACCGTAGGAAAAGCATTGGATGGCTGAAATAAGCAAGGAGGTGGGATGAACGCGGGGCAAAACGCCAGCTTGGCCAGTCAGCACCTCCTTTATAGCGATGCACTGAATCAACGCATCTCTATGATAAAAATTCAGTTTCTACATGCAAAGTGTGGAGATGTTGAATGGCAGTGCTGCACACTATGCAGCACTGCCCCAGGAAGCACCACCAGTGGCTGTCTGAAGGGGCCGCTGGATGTGTCCCTAGGGAGCAATGTAAACACTGCCTTTTTAGAGTTTACATGAAAATGCCTGAAGGGAATGATTCTACTCAACAGAACAGCTACATTAAGCTATAATTGTTCTGGTGACTATAGTGTTCCTTTAAGACTTTGCATGAGGACGTTCGGGGTCTTCTAAATCCCCATAGGAAAGCATCGATTCAATACCCTCCTACTGGAGACGGATTAATGCGCGTGTGGTGCTCACCACCTACGTACATTAGGTTCCCCAGACGAGGTGGAGACAGAGCAAACGCCGAAGGACTTGGCACTGGAATAAGTTGAGTGTTTAGAGGGTTATTTAACCATTTTAGTCTTGCAGGTGGATGCAGAAGAGGCAGAGGAACACTATCAGGCCCAGACTGGCAATCGGGCAAATGCCCGGTGGGCCGCGATGGCCATGGGCCAAGGCCAACAGGGGAGATCAAGAGATCTGCGTGGTTTGCTGTGCTGTATGCACTGTTTTTTTTTGCTTCACTTGCTTTCTGATTTATATTTCTCCTTTTTCCACTTTGCACACACTCTATACACATTCTCTCTCAACTTGGTCTTTCTCCATTTACATTTACATTCTGTCCTATTTTGATCTATGGATGTCATTAACTTTTTTATGTTTTACGTGTTGTCCACTGATCCTGCTACTCTGTATAAGCTGCTCATCTACCCATTAGGGCTGTATATCAGTGATTGTGTTTATACGGTACTGATATTATATACCAAGCACTCCAGCATGGCACACTCTGGTCGGAACATTATGCTGATTTTAATGTCTATCACTGCATAGGTGGTGGAGGATTCACGTCTCGAGCACTGGGCACATTAGGGTTAATTCATTTCTGCAGGTAGGCAGTCAATACCGATGACGTCAACGCATGCATCACGCTATTCTGAGAATGCGCACATGGTTAATCACTTCTGGGTTCGGGAGCACTGACGGGCACTATCACACACACCTTTGGTAGGTCACTTATTTATTGTTTGATACATATTGAGGTATTTTATGTCTTGTTATTGATCTTGATAAAGACCCAGGAGGGTCGAAACGTTGATGTTTGCTTAATTCACATTTGAAAAATCCCCGAGGAGTGCTCCTGTTATTTGTGGTCTATTTGAGCGCTGGAAGCACCCGGGTATTATTGGATTTAAATATACCTATTGATGGTGAGTGCCAGAGATATAGAAAATATATATATATATATATACACACACACACACACACACACACACACACACACACACACAGTAGTGTAGATTGGATTAGCCGTAATACGTATTAGTCCAGTAGACAAGATGCCAAAATACCAGAGTCTTGCAGTATGCAATGATACCTTATTTTTTTCCCAACATCAGTTGTTTTAAAGGGACACCGTAGGATTCCAGACTAAGTCAGCTAACTTTACATGCAGCTTTAAGTCTGCCCTCTGTGGCTCTCTACCAGACAGCCACTAGAGGGCTTCCGGAACCCAAACTGACTTTTGGTCCGTTATCTGACCGAAATCCAGCGTCAGATTTTAACCATAGGAAACCATTGCCACTCATGCACATTAGGTCTCCCCCGCCGGCTGACGGGGCGCCTGACCCAGCGCCGAATTCAGGTAAGTGGCCCCTTCAGCCCAGTGGGAAGGGAGCACTCCAGGAGCCTATAGTGCCAGGAAAACGGGTTTGTTTTCCTGGCACTATAGGATCCCTTTAAGTGTTAAACTTGATCAAATTGATCAGTATTGCTTCAGACCGGAGGAAAACTCAAAAGCTTGTCTTTGGAATGTTATAGTAGTCCAAGCTCTACCAAGCCTCAATAGCAAACCAGTTACAAACCTAATGCTGATGATTTACATTAACAATGAAACCGCTGTTCATAAGTGGTTCACTAGCGTTGCATCTTTTCCTAAGTTGTGTTTCAAAGCTGTTGTATACAGCAAACACAGACAAATGAATCTATGTTTAAAATTGAATGAGGCAAAAATTTGATTCTTTGTTAAACTAATTTGCATATGCCCACCCAGAATCCTTTTGTGGTAGTAACCACTGCAAATTTGTGATTTATGTGGAAAAAGACTTATGGCTTGACTGGTGTGCAGATTTTTGTTTAACATTGTATTGACTATCCACAGACTTCAGGTGGAAGGGGTTTTCAATCACATTTTTTCCCCACCATAACCTTTTGGGTTTTTTCTTCCCAAGCACTACCAAGCCTCAATAGCAAACCAGTAACCAATCTCATGCTGATGATTTGCATTAGCAATGAAATAGCGGTCTATGAGTGGATCACTGGCTTTGCTCCCCTTCTTCCACTTAGCGCACACACTTCTATCCTTCTATCCACTTAGCGCACACACACTAAACAAGGATGTCAAATTTTACAGATCTAAATAATGGGGGTTTGGTTACATTATATGATCATATATTCCATAAGCCTGCCACAATGTCAATGTATCCCATATTTGGAGAGAAAAGAGAAAAGAGAAAAGAAAAAAGAGAAAAGAGAAAAGAGAAAAGAGAAAAGAGAAAAGAGAAAAGAGAAAAGAGAAAAGAGAAAAGAGAAAAGAGAAAAGAGAAAAGAGAAAAGAGAAAAGAGAAAAGAGAAAAGAGAAAAGAGAAAAGAGAAAGAGAGAGAAAAGAGAGAAAAGAGAGAGAAAAAGAGAGAGAAAAAAAGAGAGAGAAAAGAGAGAGAAAAGAGAGAGAAAAGAGAGAAAAAGAGAAAGAGAGAAAGAGAGAGAAAAGAGAAAAGAGAAAAGAGAAAAGAGAAAAGAGAAAAGAGAAAAGAGAAAAGAGAAAAGAGAAAAGAGAAAAGAGAAAAGAGAAAAGAGAAAAGAGAAAAGAGAAAAGAGAGAGAAAAGAGAGAGAAAAGAGAGAGAAAAGAGAGAGAAAAGAGAGAGAAAAGAGAGAGAAAAGAGAGAGAAAAGAGAGAGAAAAGAGAGAAAAGAGAGAAAAGAGAGAAAAGAGAGAGAAAAGAGAGAAAAGAGAGAAAAGAGAGAAAAGAGAGAAAAGAGAGAAAAGAGAGAAAAGAGAGAAAAGAGAGAAAAGAGAGAAAAGAGAGAAAAGAGAGAAAAGAGAGAAAAGAGAGAAAAGAGAGAAAAGAGAGAAAAGAGAGAAAAGAGAAAGATATATATATATATATATATATATATATATATATATATATATATATATATATATATATATATATATATATATATATATATATATATATATATCCATCCTGCCAAAGATGGGGTACATTGATGTTGTGGCAGGCTTTTGCAATGTATGATCATATAATGTAACTAAACCCCCATTATTTTTGCCTAGATTAGGTGTTTTTAAAAAAAAAAAACTAAATCTTTCAACATTGAATATTATATTAAGAATTGTGTGTTAACCTGGATGTATGAATACTAGAAAATTAAAATACTGGTTATTTCTGAGTTTTCAAGTCAAAATGTAAGGGAAACCACATATGATACTCTTTTGAGAGATAGATAGAGATATAGATATAGAGAGATTTTTTTGACTTAACAGACTTATAGAGAACAACCCTAAGACAAAATGCTAAAAACTGAGCAATTACCAAGTAAAACAAGCAAATGTAACTGCTGACTGCGTCACTTTCAGAACTTTGCTCCCAAACCGTTTATACAGAATCACCGTTCAGATTTTGATCCACATACATATTCACTTGTTTATGCAACTAAAAAATAACCAGTATTTTAATTTTCTAGTATTCATACATCCAAGTTAACACACAATTCTTAATATTTAATGGACCACTCTAGGCACCCACACCACTTCAGCTTAATGGGTAACAGGTCCAGCTAGGGTTAACCCATTTTTTTTTTTTATAAACATAGCAGTTTCAGAGAAACTGCTATGTTTATAAATGGGTTAATCCAGTCTTCAAAGCCTCTAGTGGCTGTCTCCTTGACAGCCGCTAGCGTGATTCTCACTGTGAAAATCACAGTGAGAGCACGCAAGCATCCATAGGAAAGCATTGTAAATGCTTTCCTATGAGACCGGCTGAATGCGCGCGCAGCTCTTGCTGCGCGTGCGCATTCAGACGAATGGGAGGAGAGGAGGAGGAGGAGAAGAGCTCCCCGCCCAGAGCTGGAGAAAGGTAAGTTTTAACTCCTTTCCTCTCCCCAGAGCCGGGCGGGAGGGGGACCTTGAGGGTGGGGACACCCTCAGGGCACTATAGTACCAGAAAAACGAGTATGTTTTCCTGGCACTATAGTGGTCCTTTAATCCCTATGAATCCACGTACAAGGAGTAGTTTCATTAGCAAACATCACAGAACACAGCACTGGAAGCAAAAATATATGTTACAATGTGTAAATAAATAAATAAATAAATAAATAATAATTAAAAAAAAATTATATATATATATATATATTTTATATATATATATACACACACACACACATACATATACACACACACACACACATATATATATATATATACACACACACTCTGGATATCTGGACACCTTAAATCTTTTTAATCCCAGAGTCTTTTCTCTAGCACCATTTGGCTATGCCAGCATGGGTAGGCAACCTTCAGCACTCCAGATGTTGTAGACTACATCTCCCATAATGCTCTTACACACATAATACTGGCAAAGCATCAGGGGAGATGTAGTCCACAACATCTAGAGTGCCAAATGTTGCCTACACCTGGCTTAGAGTGTCAGCATATGCTCTCAGCAAAACAGCAGATCCCCTGTCTGCAGGAGTCTGAGGATTCTTGTTTGAATTGTCTCAGATATGCAGAAGGACAAGGGGAGAGTTAAGCAGTGCTGGAGAGAAGACTCTGGGTTTAAACCATTTATGAACATTTATCTCCTCAAGGTAAGCTGGCACCAAGAACCTATTTCAACTAAGTTGTTATGCTGCTCGACGGTTCCCTTAAGTCACTTTCTAAGATCTGAGCTAATCCACCAATAATTTATTTTTTTTCTGCAACAGGGGATCTGAAGTTAAAAAAAATCTGCCTTCGGTCGAAGGCTGACTTAAAATGGCAGATCCATCAGAATGTGGTTCTATGTGTGTTGATGGTTCCAGCCATTACATTTAACTGCAATTTTAACATACCAAATATTTAGGAGGAACTATAGAGATCATTAAAGTAAAGGTTCAATATAATGGAAAGCCTACGAATATGTGTTTGTGTGTGTGTTGAAACATTGTTGGATAGGGGGTTGATTAGCTCACTTTTGTATCTTCACAAAAATAATATCCCCATTACATTCTCCATTAGGTGTACAGGTTCAGAACTTACCATGACATAGTGCCTCTGCATCTCAGATTTCTCACTGGCCAGTTTATCACATTCCAGCTTCAAACTAAAATAGAAAAAAGACAGGCACACATGAGATTACAAAATTCATATTACAAAATTCTCTACATAGATAAGAGAGTAGTATGGTCAGGAGGTAAAAAAACAACAATAAAACAGGTGGTGGCTGACTACCAATAGAGCAGGGCACAGGTTAAAAGAGCTCCTCAGCTATGACCAAAACAGAGCATACAGCACAAGTCAAAATTATTTACCTCTTTTTTTTTTTTTTTAACTTATTGCAGACGCAAAGGGTGTTGTTCTGGATCTTACGAAGGGATATCTACTCAAAGAGAGGGAGGCGGTCGATTCTTTACTTTTACACAATTCACGTATTTTACAAGCGCTGCGCCCCCCACCCCCGGTGGTTTTCCCGGTTTATACTCACTTATTCTGCAGCTTGTTTGTCTCTCTCTACAATTTGACCTTGCAATTCAGTTTCTAGCCTGCACCATACCTACTCTATTGTCCAAAAATGGCCGCCATTCCCACTAAAGTTAAGCAGAGAAAATCTGAGCAACTTGGATGCCACTTTATGTCCCTGGAGAACGCTGAACGCATTATTCCCCTGCACAACTTCCATTCCTAGAGGGCCCTGAACGAGAAAGCTGCAAAGATCTATCAGCATAACTCAGTACAGCTTTCATTAAAGGAGCACTATAGTGTCATGAATACAAACATGATTCTTAACACTTTAGTGTTAAATTAGCCCCATCCCCCCACCACTAGAGGTTTTCCTAAGCAGAAATGTAAACACTGTCCATGCAGGAATTTACATTGAAAAGCCTGCATGGACATGCTATAGACACCAAAACCACTACATTAAGCTGTAGTGGTTCTGGTGACTATAGTGTCCCTTTAAGATGCATATCTGGGACAGATCTTGATGTGTTGACGGGTAAGCACAGTGTTTTTCGCCAGCAAGTCACCCTGGAGGCAGGTTTGTGATCAGTCATGGCTCTTTCAAGTTTTAGACCTAGTGGCTGTGAGTTGACTGGTCCCTGCATCAGTCACCTCCCACCAAGGAGCTGAATAGCTCTCTGGACAATCACCTTACTTCAATTAAAGCACAGATCAGTGTAGCGGTTACTTTTCTTTCCAATTGTTCAAATGTTTATCTCTTACTTTTCTGTTATTTTTTTCCAGCATGGTCCTCCTGAGTTATTCATTTTGACTACACGCTTATAAAACTTTGTATCTTACAGTTTAGTCCTGCACAACTACTCCACCTATATATGCCTCTGATTTTTATTTTTAAAATTAGTTACGGACCGGTTTTGTGCAACTGAGACAATTTGAATTTTGCATTGACGTTTCTTGCTATGCCTACTCTGCATTTTTATGCAATCACCTCAATAACAAATACTGATAAATAAAACTAGCCCTGTATATACTTTTAAAGCGGCTCTCTCACAGCAATATACAGATAAGAAAAACTAATTTTGATTGTGCTGGAAGTAGAGAAAAGTTAACAAAAGGCTGAGCTTCTCTATCAACTTTTGTCAATTTCTATAGCCATTGCTTATGTGCATTCCGCAAGGGCGTTGCTCACTACCTCTATTGCAGCCTTCAGGACGGTCGTAAGCACTATGTCAGAACTAAGCCTGGCGGTGCAGGGTTTAGCTTATTTGTGAGAAGTGTTTGGCTGACAGTCTCAGCCAATGTACTGGCCTTGCACTGAAGCGCTTACCGCAGGACAGATAATGGAAGCTCCTAAGCATGAGGTTCTGACTCTCCTAGTAGCGGAGAGGAGGCAGGGAGCAGCAAACAGCAATCATGCTAAAACAGATTGACTTCTTATACTGGAGGAGAGGAACCATAACCACTATAACCCTTAAATGTTTTTTTTTTGCATTTCATCAGTATTGAAACCATAGGGAAAACAATAAGAGAATGATGATGCTAGGAAAATAATTCAGTGGTGGGGTGTAGGAATTCCCTAAAGTTACAAGAGTGTAAAAGAAAATAAAAACTGCAAGAAAGCAGTAAAAGCTTTATAAGTGCAATACAGAAGTTTAGAATGCAACAATACTGTATATTATGGATCTGATAGAACATTAGTGTAAGTCTGTTATAAGGTATAATGAGGTTGTAAATGTTTCTTGTTGTTATATGTTAAATCTACACGTTTGTTACCTGTTCTATGTTAAATTTTGTATATATTGTGTATTAATATTGTTTTTGTATTTTATTGTACCCTATTGTATCAATGCAATGTTTTGTGAACCCAGGACATACTTAAAAGGAGAGAAATCTCAATGTATCCTTCCTGGTAAAATATTTTCTAAATAAATAAATCTGGTCTTACCTGTGATATTGTGCTTGGAGCAGCTGGAATTCATCTTTAATTCTATCACAAGAATCTGAGGTGGTGAATTTGAGTTGCTGGGGCAAGTGAGAAGAGCCCTAGGGACCAAAGAGAATATGTCAGACTGAACACATTTTTGCCACTCCCATACACATACAAACCTGAATTCACAGCTTAGTAGGAACACCACAAGAGATCATCTACCATTATTCAGGCTGTCGACATCAGCGCTACCAAAATTAACTTTAATATGGAAAGGGGACTACCGTAATCACTTACTGTGCGAAAATTGAAGTAAAGCAATTACATTGAGGAAAGTGTTTGATTATGCTTCTAGTTATTAAAAACACAACAAAAATAATGTGTGTATATTTCCTACTCTAAACATGCAGACAGTGTCTGCTTCGGACCTAGTCTGTTTTCCTTATCAAAACCCTTTGCATCACATTTTAATTGCACGAAGACAGAAAGATTGATATTAAAAAATAAATAAATCTATGGACATGTATATACCTTAAAACGTGTAAAACACCAAAACGCCCACAGACTATAGAGAGCATGGCTATGACTATGGAGCAATTACCATGACGAGGACAGCACTATATCTACCAGTCATACTAGCTCGATTGTAATTTACTGAAATGTATGCATCTTGCTCAAAATTCTAATTATTGTAATTATTTTAACACGTTCCTAACTGCGTTCACCACTGCCACTATCTGAATATGCGAATCCAGTTCACGAAAAAAAAATATAAGCTGGTGCTACTGAACAATTAGCATTATATAAGTGCATGCAGGCTTCGTGTTGTGTACGATATGTATGTATAATCTCTTTCTCACTCTGCTAGGCCTCACCGAGTGCCGGCTGCTGCTTTGGGGAAACATCATATCCCACCAGAGCCCCGGTCTTTCCTGATGTGTTAGCCGGGCTCAGTGCTCCCGGGCTCGGCCTCTCCTGATCCTGTGCCCGGACTCAGGGTTGGCACTCGTCCTGTTTGGATTCTTGTCCCGGTTTCAATGTTGACAAACCCTGGCCTGATCCACACCCTGGCCGCTCTTGGCCTGTCTTGATCCTGGTCCTCCCCTTGCCCTCAGGCCCCGGCCTGTCCCAGTGATGTCTTTCGGGCTACGAGCTCACAGCACTCGAGATCCTTTTGTTTAATGGCGGTTACAGCTAAACAAACCCACAGCTCACCCTGCTGGCCGCCACCAAAACGAACAGAATAGTGTGGAGGCTTGATAAATAATCTAATATATTGTATCTATCCTAAAAATACAGCCTCTCTCCTTCTTTCCTTGGGGCCTGGAGACTAAATAACAAAATGCACACACAAAAAAATAAATAAAAAATATTTGTTGCAGAAGTAAAATAATAAAATCCAGGGAGTGATGTGAGTGAAACCAATTTCTGCAAGGTTTAAATTATTATTATCAGAATGTTTAAAGCACCAACATATTCTGTAGCACTTCGAAAAATATTTAGAGGTAAAGTAGGCCCTGCTTAAATGAGTTTACAATCTATACTTTAAATAAACTGCTAACAAATATAACTATTTGTAAGAAGTAAAAGAGTAAAATGCTGGGAGTGACGTGAGTTAAAGCGACACGGTCACTGTCAGAATTCGCTGGCAGGCACCTACTATGCTTTCGTATTGGAAGGACCTGGAGGCAGGGGGAGAAATCTGGAAAGCAGAACGCTCCTCCCGCAAGCAGGCTGTGTGGAGCGTTGCCGCGCCACACAGCATTGCGCAGGAGGACAGGCAAGCTGCAGCCAGACACATACTTACCAGACCACCAGAGCTGGCTGTGTCCCCCCTAAGAAGAAATGAGGGGTGGATAAAGATTTTATATATAGGGCAGGATTATTTAAAAAATAAATAAAAAAAAACCACACATTTGCTACCTGCAGCACCCCCACCAACACACAGAGCACTCCTCCCCCTTTATACAGCACCCTCCCCCCCACACACACACAACTCCCCCAACATAGCACCCATCCCTTACACACAGCACCCCGCACACCCAGTACCCCCCAAACACACAGCACTCCCCCCCAACACAGCACCCCCTCTACACACACAGCACTCCCCCCACACATACACACGTTTGTATGGGATCTGTACATCTACACATTGTATAATGTGTGTATAGTGTAATCCATTATATGTGTGTGGGGACATCTAGTGTGTATGTGTACAGTGGCAATAGTGTATATGTGTGTGTAGGGGATCCATTGTGTGTGTGTGTACTTTGTCTCTAATGAGTGTGTGTGTGTGTGTGTGTGTGTATGTAAGTTAGTAAATATGTGTGGGATAGGGGATGTATTTGGGGAATAGAGTGGATCAATTTTTATTATTAAGAAGCACAAAACTGTCACGTATTCATCTGCACATAAAAATGTGATTAATGGCATTTACTGATCTGACCGGAAAAGTTGTGCCGAGCAGCAATCAATCCACAGGAGGGTTTGTGCTGAGTAGCAATCATGCAATAGAAACCTGCTAACTGCCTTTGGGGTCAAAGGCCGGTTACAACCAATCGGATCCACATGTGTATTTAGGCCTAGTTCCCCTCTTGCTCAGTGCCCTGTCGTGGTTTCCCTAGTGGTTGTCCGAGAGCGCATTATTAATTCTGGTTATTTGACTTTGGCATTGTTTATGACTTCCCTGTTTTCTGGCATCCCTGACCCCTGGCTTTTCCTTATCGTTGTGTCCCTTTCTGTATCCCTTGACCTCGGCTATTCCAGACTATTCTTATGTATGTTAGTCCGGCCATTCTAATGTCCGGTATACGTTACCTATCAGTCTTCTGTGTTACACAATTCTACGTGCTGGATCATACTGTAATCATGACAAAAACAAAACAAAAAAATGAATAATAATAATCGTGTGTTCCTAGTTCATGGAATTCCAAAAGGGTAGAAAGGGTAGGGAAGGAAATTAAAACTTAACCTTTATTAATATTATAAGAGGATAATGTTAAAATGTATATGATAGATGCATCCAAAACGAAATGCCCTTTACTATCAATATAGAAGGTATCCGGGTGGTATAGAGGTTATAAACCAAGTCTCAATACTAGAACTTTCTAGGTTGGACCTCGTCACGGGTCCTTGGAGGGGCATACTTACCAGCCTCTTACCCTGTGACTATGGTCCCTGTTTTAAACCCTGGTTGAAAACACTATTTGTGCCTGTTGGGATTTATAACAGGTACAATTCGAACTTTCGAAGCGGCACTTCGAACTCCCGAAGCCATTCGAAGTGCCATTCGACCATATGGCGGCGGCCATCTTATGTCGCGAGTACAATGATCGGTGTTTGGTCGTTGAGTTCATGGAACTCAAATCGGACACGTGATGGCGCGAACACTGCTAAACTCTTACCTTCTATGGAGGTTCGGCTATTCGAACAGGAGTCGAACGGCGTTTGGTAAGAATAAACTCCCGAACAAAAGCCATACACTGACTTTATTCACGAACAGCTATGTTCGGTATTTTGAACTTTACTTCGAATCCCCGAAGTAGACCAACCACACAGCCTAATTCTCTGGAACTGTTTTGGAGATGGAACCATGCATGCGGTCAGTCACTGTCTGTGTTCCCATGTCTCTCAGTGTCCCTAGTGTCTTAGTTCCCCAAATGTTTCAGTGTCCCCATGTCTCCCAGTGTCTGTGTCCCTTGTGTCTCAGTGTCCCCATTACTCCCAGTGTCCCCAAATGTCTCATTGTCCACATGTCTCCCAGTGTCTCCATGTCTCCCAGTGTCCCCATGTCTGTATTCACATGTGCCCCCATGTCTCCCAGTGTCCCCATGTCTCACTGTGTCCCCTAGTATCCTAGTGACATGGGAACACACTGAGATATGCGGACACTGGGAGAAATGGGGACACTGAGACACTGGGAGACTACGGGACTGGGCGACATGTGGACACTGACACTGTGATACATAGGGACACTGAGACACTGGGTGACTTGGGAGACAGGGAGACACTGGGAGCAATTCCTGTATACAGCAAAATCAAACTGCTTACAGAATTTTCTCTTATGTCACTCCTTGTGATTTACATCATGTGATGTCACGCATAACTAATTATACAAATGATTAAGGCTGGTATTTCTTTTCCAAGAAAGGTGGCAACCCTAACTACTCTTCACATACTCTTGATTAAAGGAACACTATAGGGTCAGGAACACAATCATGTATTTCTGACCTTATAATTTAAAAACCACCATCAAGCCCCCCTGGCCCCTCTCTAAGTATAGTAAACTCTTACTTGTATTCTGTAGTTTGCAGCTGCTGGATCTGCCTCTGAACTGATTCTGTCTGCTGACATCATCAGAAGTGGAGGTCTGAGCAAATTAACATAGAAACGTAGAAACATAGAATGTGACGGCAGATAAGAACCATTCGGCCCATCTAGTCTGCCCAATTTTCTAAATACTTTCATTACTCCCTAGTCTTATCTTATAGTTAGGATAGCCTTGTATGTACGTAGTGGGGAATTGCGATGCAGCCTAGAACAAAACTAACCCCATTCAACCCCCCAATAATGAGAGACCACTTAGTATGGATGAACAGGCCACAGCATTTATTATCACAAACTAAATTACTGCATAACACATCCATAACTTTATTTATTAAATCTCTTCTTTTTCTGTAACCAAAACGTTAGACATAAATAAGCATAGATTAACATATATACATATATAACTCCACACATAGTGTTATACAGTGACCCAACCGTCCTTGCCAATAAACATACAGTGGTTCCTAATCACCACTTCCTCTCACCTCCCCCCTCGTCATAAAATCATATCTTTCCAATGCCCGCCATCAGCCGACCTTATCCACGCTCGATGGGCACGACACCTCAGGTAACCTAATGTTAACCTTTTGAAGCAGGGGAGGTTGAGACCTTAAAACTTGTTCATCTCATTCCATATACTTAAACGTAACCCCTCAAACTCAATTGGCAAGGACATACCCCCGCCACAACCACGCTGTTTTACACCTAAAATCAGCGGGGGACCCCACCACAACCAGCCATGGCCTGTTCCACCACTGCTAGCAGTGCCAGATTAACATAGAATAAATACTGCACCAGGAAATTAAATGACCATTCGTGATCAATCTAAAAAACACCAATAACACAACATAGTGCAAAATATATATATATAGATACATATATATATATAATGTTAGACTCCTTATGTAGAGTAAAACTCACAGGATTTAAAGCCGTCCCAGGCTCTATATAATATGCAGGAGGGTGCCTAAAAAGGCTAAACGATATCCTTGAGGAGAGCAGCACAGGATACAAAGTGCAGAATCCAAAATTTATTGCACAAATAAACAATTAAAACAGGGACAATATGCAGTGTATAAATAGTAAAATATACTAGGCACAAAGCCTAAATAAAACACTGCAGAGGAAACAAGAAAAAGTACCAGATACAATCCTTTGATCTAGCAGCAATTGCGTTTCATCTCCAGCCGGAGTCGTCCTCAGTGCACCATCAACATAGGCCTCATCCGACCTCCAGCAAGCGCACCCATCCCCTCGAGATAACTAGGCCACATCCGGCCACACCCCAAGGTGAACTGGAATCCCCCAAGCCAAAACAAGAAACCCACCTCGTCCGATTCCCGACGGCAGCGCACCAGGGCACTCACATTGCTGAGCGCACTGCCAACAGGAACAGGTGATAGCCTCAGCCCGGCCCCTGAGAACCTCTGGTAAGAAACAGAATGTGTAACATGTCCAGATTCAAGAGCACCCAATTCCCAAACAGCCACCAAATCCAGGACATTTCACCCAGACAGATGACAAAAAAACCCCAGTACCCCTAGGAGGCGGGACAGTTGACCTAGGACGAGGAGGAGCCACACCTCCCTCATGTATCTGGCGCCAGACCACCAAACCTCCACTTCCGAAGACGTAAGATCCAACCACTCGCCCCCCGCCTCCTGTCCCAAATGACATATGAGCATCCCACGCTCCATATTCCGGGTGGAGGGGAGGGGGGAGAGACAGTAACCGCAGAGAGAAATCCATTTGGAGACTGGCAGGGTTAACCCAAGGAGCCTACCCCCTGACCCCCACTATTCAAGCTCTGTGAACCAGTGGCACAAGCACGCCCAGACCGGCGGCGTCTGTAGCCGCCCCCCAACCGGACTGAAATGCCCCCTGAACTCTCCACCATCCTCAAC